ATGGCAACATCCCAGATTGCATTTTCAAATTTTGACTGAATTTTACAGATTATTTCACAGTACTGAAATCGGACCAAATTGGCTAAAGTCCCATAAACTGATGATTTCAAAGGATATAATTTTTTCTTCTTTTATATTTATACCTTGCCTAAATACACATAACCAGACTAAACGGCAACATCCCAGAATGAATTTTTAATTTTGGACTGAATTTTACAGATTTTGAAACTGAATATTTCAAGGGATATTATTTTTCCTTTTTTTCTATTCATTCGTTGCCTTAAAACACATCATCAGACATAACAGCTACATCACAGATTGAATTATCAAATTTGAACTGAATTTAAAAATATTTTCCAAATTTCTGAAATTGGATCAAATCCAATTAATTGGTGATTTCAAAGGATATTATTTTTCCTTCTTTTATATATCTGTGCCTAAATACACATCACCAGACAAAACAGCAACATCCGAGATTGAATTTTTAAATTTTGACTGAATTTTAAAAAGTGGACCAAATTGGCTCAAGTCCAATAATGAGATGATTTATAAAGGATATTATTTTTTTTCTTTTTGCTACTTGCCTAAAATACACAATCAGGCTAAACTGCTCCATCCTAAAATGAAATTTCAGATTTTGACTTCATTTTACAGGTTTTTCTAAAGTACTTGCTATTATATTGTTAAATATTGAATGATAGAAACATTTTTTAAACTGAATGACGGTATAATTTTGTATTGTCACATCATTTATTTCATCAAGAAAAAAATTGAATCAAAATAACGTAGGATCATTTTCAGCAGGTTGTGCTCAGTGATGAGTGGGGCTTGCAAAAAAAAGCTGCTTTTTGAAAAAATAAATGTAACAGCGGTACTCTGGTCGTCTCGAAGATAAGGGAGTACTTGTTGGGTCAGAAGGGATTTATTTTCAATGGGCGTAGAGTGAGAACTACACGATAGTCCGGATCTGTCCTAAAACATACATAATTTGATATAAATATCATGGGTATGGACAGTATAAAGGCACAAGATAACAACAATAATAATAATACATTTAGATCTATAGTTACTTACTTTTGGCATATATATTTGAACAAATCCTTCCAGATAAAACAAAGTATCGTCAAGTCACACAAGTTCGATCGACATGTAACTTCGATCGGCCATTTTGAATGGGGGCAGGCTAAAACGGCACCTCAGCAAAACGTCACCGATTTCTCTGGCGAAAACGGCTACTATGTGTCGGGCGAAAACGGCACCTCTATTTTTAATAAGGATAACAACGATTTTTGTAGTAATATATATGGTTTATTTACATGGTATTTGATGTATTGAGTACATCTGAAGCCGTAATGTGAATTTCCGATAGGTTTGGTACTGACATGAAACCCAGGTAGCATGCCATCATCGGCCCGACATCGGCAGATGGTCGGCACCATCGGCCAATCTCATTAAAATCAGATCTTAGTTCTCGCTACCGCTAATTTTTTAAGATCTGATTTTAATGAGATTGGAACTCACTGAAATTAATACTGTTATAATACTGTTGATTAATTTGACATACTGAATCTAGTTTGTTTTACGGAAGATGTAGTGCACCCAACCTCCCATTCAGCAATTGGATTCCACTTCAGGTATTTGCATAGATCTATGATGTGATTGTTGTTATAAATATTGAATATGTTGAGTGAGTGAGTGAATTGGTGTTAATACCGCCGCTTTGAACAGTATTTCAGTTATATCACGGCGTGTCATCATAATGTGGGTGGGAAGTCCAAATTGATGCAGTTCTTAGACATTTACCACTTTGGTGGATCCCAGAAGCACAGTAATATGGTGCTGAGTCTGCTTACAAACCTATGAACATAATCAGAACAAACAGGATTTTGAACACAAAATTATAGGTTCCTGCATGCCCAACAGACGCAAATCTGCACGGCAAATTCTGGTGCCTTAAATGACTGGGCCTACCCCAGATGAATTAAAGGATATCATAACATGCTCCTGTACTTACCCAAAACCAGTATTATTATGCAGTACTAAAAGCATGAGAATTATGAATGCCAGTCATTTCAGATATTAATTGATAGCTATAGATTCATATATATCATGGCATCAAAATCTTACTGGACTAAGAGGAGAAAGGTATGTGCCCGTGTTTCTGAACACATAGAATTTATGAAGGCTTCTAATTACCAAAGTCACTTTGGCAATGATTGCGACAGTACGGTAAGGACTGAAGCTTACGTTAGCACTCATGAATGTGATCATGGTTTTGAAACTGTAGAGGATGATTCATCTTGCATAGATTTAAATCCTTCAATCTCCCAAGAATGTACATATTCAGAAAGTCAGGCTGAAAATGTGGCTGAAAATACTACCCAAAATTGTAGCTGGCTTAGTTTGAGTCCAATGTCCAATATTGTTGATGAGCATGGGGATACTGCCCCAAATGATTTTGAGGATGCTTTTGATGGACATGTGTATGGGGCAGATTGTGTGCACGTAGGAAGTGAATGTTCTAATGATGACAGTGGGGGTGAAAAGGAATAAATTATGCAAGCTAAGCTTGCAATTTGGGCTTCAGAATTTCAGATTCCCCACACAGCTTTGTCGTCCCTGATGGATATCATGCGGACTGATTATCCTTCATTACCAAGAGATCCCAGGACTTTGTTGAATACTATTAAGAATTATGATGTGAAGTCTATTGCAGGTGGATCATATTACCATTTTGGAATTGCATCTAGCATTTCAGATGTTATCTCAGGCATAGATTACTCAGCATATGAGCAGACATGTGTCAAGATTCAGATCAACATTGATGGATTGCCGTTATTCAAAAGCTCAAACACTCAGTTGTGGCCAATCTTGGGGAGACTTACACAACCATTAGTGAAAACCCCTTTTATTATTGGTATTTTTTGTGGTACTCATAAACCAGGAAACATCACAGAGTACCTTCAAGATTTCATTGCTGAAATAAGCATCATAGAGAAAGAGGGCTTCATGACAAAAGGTAATGTCCACCTCAATCTTGAAATATCTTGCTTCATTTGTGAGACCCCTGCAAGAGCATTTGTGAAGCAGGTGAAAGGCCACAGTGGGTACTATGGCTGTGACAATTGTGTTCAGAGGGGTGTATGGAAGGGCAAAATGACATTTCCTGTCACAGACAGCCCCCCTCGAACAGATGTTCAATTTGACGAAATGGCTGATGAAAATCATCATTTGGGCCCTTCTCCTCTCTCTGCTTTAAACATTGGTATGGTATCCCAATTCCCTCTTGATTACATGCATCTGGTGTGTTTGGGAGTGGTCAAGAGAATTATTTGGTTGTGGATGAAGGGTCCTCTTGAAACTGGATGTAGGATAGGGTCGAAGCTGATAAGTCAGATTTCAGATCAGGTTACAGCCATGCAAAGTTACTTGCCCAAAGAGTTTGTTCGGAAGGGTCGAACACTTCGTGAAGTTGACAGGTGGAAGGCAACTGAATTTAGGCTCTTTCTCCTGTATACAGGACCTGTTGTTCTTTGTGGAAAGCTTTCGGATGTTATGTATAAGAATTTCATGTTGTTATTTGTTGGAATATATTGCCTTGCAAGTGACAAGTTCTGTGAATCACATTGTGAATATGCCAGGGAAATCCTTTGTCTTTTTGTACAAGAGTTTGGGAATTTGTATGGCAAAGATATGCTTGTGTACAATATACACAACCTTGTCCATTTGGCCAAACATGTGAAAAAATTTGGTCCATTAGATAATTTCTCGAGTTTTCCCTTTGAAAGTTTTTTGGGAAAGCTGAAAAAAATGATTCGTCAACCAAAGTTTCCTCTTCAGCAAATCATTCAAAGATTATCTGAACAAAAACAGCCTGCGTGTCAGTTTCCAACATATGCCAGCGGCTATGTACTCAAAATGTTGCATACCAATGGTCCCTTAATGGAGAACTTTATGCATTATGAACAATACAAGGCAATTGATTTTCCAGAATTCTGTGTTTCCTCAAGTCAGGGTGATAATTGTGTCAGGATCGGGGGAAAGTTTGCTCTAGTGAGGAACATAGTGTCTCCCACAGCACAAGCGGGAAACATTTCATTCTTATTTGAAGAATTTACATGTGTGGACAACTTTTTCCGGTATCCCCTTGATTCCTCCCAGTTGTGTATTCATAAAGTGTGCAAGTTGTCTGGTCATTTGAAATCTCTACCTATAACATGCCTTGAATTTAAATGTGTCCTTTTGCCATTTCAGCAGAAGTTTATTGTTATTCCTCTCATACATTCATCTCATGCATTACCCAAAAGCTAAAGTACTGTCGAAAATGCTAGAAAAATTATTTCCTGGCTTCATTCAAGAAAAGCAAATCAGGGCCATATAGAATTATCAATCAACACACACCAAGTTTATGAAAGGGGTGAATAGTTCTGGTATCTGAGAGGTGAAAGTGAGTCAGATACCACAACTATTCACAAGTTACATTAAATTAGTATTACATGGGAGTAGTATTTTGTTTTTACTTGCCGTTTATGACTTTCAAATTTCATTTGATATTTCATTGTTGTGTGCGAATAGGCAGACATCTGCCTGATCCAACATGTCCAAAGCATTATCCAGTTAAGAGAATATTACTTCAAGCACTTCAAAAGTTGACACCTATTCTTTTTATGATACCTACTTATTGAATCCATGTGTCTGTTCCACAAAGCCATTGTAGCGCTCAAGTTATCATTACTTCTCTGCTTACGGAGCTCTGCACAACAGAGTTTACAATCATGTCATAATACACTTTGACACTATTTGTTTGGCATATGTGAGACAACATTATCGTATTGTGCCGCCAAGACATTCTATCTTGTTTTTTACAGACAAAATGCATATTTCTAGCAATTTGACAGTACTTTAACTATGCATGCTTGGTTTTGCATGCTGCTAAGAAGCAGCTTGCAAAGTTAAGGAACCATGAACAATTCTGGACACTTTTCTGCCTATTATATCAGTTAACATCGCAATGTACAAAGTTGTCCTGTTCACGGATGATGATGAACTAGCTGTTGTGCCATCAAATTGGCTGGATGGCAAAGGTTGTTGTCTTTGGCCGCCCTTCAAGTCCAGCACAAAATTGACAAAGGCAGTTATTAATCAGGAAAAGTCCTCTGAGACATGGAGGTCTTATCAAATCTGGCTGCTTCCTGGTGGTGAATCAGGTAGGTTAATTTTATCTTACAAAAATACTTGAATATACAACACTGTAAAATCATAATTTATGTACCTGTTTATGATAATAACGAAATGTAGTATTATTTTTAATATTTTATCAGTTCAGAAGAAAATATTAATTACTAAATCTAGTGTTTTAATCTTCTATCAGTTTTAAGTTTAAGTACATATTGAGAATGATATTGTGAAAATTTGATGATACATGATGCTCATAATACAGACAATTACGAGCGCGCTCGTGAGAAGCTGCGTTTGGCGGAGGACACGTCAGACCTGCAAACTGCAGAATCTGAGGAGGAAGAGGAAAGTCTCCGATATTCCAAAAGGAAGAAGAGGTAGGTTGCATGATTTCTTTGTACTTGAAAGATATAAATACCTTCATGTTTGATAATGATTTGTACCAGGTTTTCAGTGTCCCATCATGTAGAAAATTGTGGGATTTTGAAAAAGTAGGGGGGATAACTGCTTTCTTCAAAAATGTCTTATTTTGTATTATGTACTGGAACATCATCATATAAAAGTGTAACAGATAAGAATAAAGAACTGCTTTTTTTTTAGTCACTAGGACCAGGATCGATTTTCCCCTTCAGTTTGAGAAGTAATTACGGTGACTGTGGCTTCATCATTGTCTTTTTTAGAACATCTATTTTGATTTAAAAAGTCTGTAATTTTTATTTCTTTTGAGCGACATTTTCACTATTCAAAAGATCGTCTGCAATGACAGTCAGCGATTCATATTGTGTGATTTCAGAAAAGAAACTAAAATGCTCAAAAATATTTATTGTCTTTTAACATCTTGTCAAAGGTTTTTGATTACTAGCAACAAAATACAACATAATTGTGATCAGGGTTTTGATACGCTTGATACGCTACCAATTTCCTAATTATACCCCGACCATAAAGGGATGGTGTATATCATTATAGCAATGAATTGTCAGTCCGTCCGTCCGTCCTTCTGAGGGCATTTTTTGTGTGCAACCTATAATTGGAAAATTACTACATATATACTTGGTGAACACTATTTTATATCTATAGGAGAGGTGCAGTGAGAAGTTTGATTTCATTACTTGGATTTTCTTACTTGTTTTCATTTTTGTACTCAGAATTTGTTTTGTTGAAACATTTTTCCAGACTTTAACCTGATTTTTTCCAAATTTGGGGAACAGATTTCATTCTCATTAGCTGAATTTCATGAAAAAAAATGATGTTTTTCATTTTGTAAACTTTGACATGTATTTCACGTCAACAATTGTGCAACCCCAAAACTACTTCTTGGATTGTTTTCCAATTTGGGGTGCAGTTTCTATATCGATAGAAGAGGTGCAGTGCAAAGTTTGATTTCAATAAGTGTATTTTGTAGAGAAAATATTGATTTTTTTTTTTTCAGGTTATGAACTTAGAAATATGTTTAAGTTGGGGCATTTGTGTTTACCCTTTGGCTTAACATTACAAGGACATTCTATCTTTACCCGGGCTAGAAAAGCTTTTAAGTTAATAGTTCTAACCTTGTTACCTTATTAAAATCCTGCCCAAGTCAGTCAGACACACCACAGATCCTTACCAGTTTGTTGGTGATGTCATCTGCTTGCATGAGATGATTGAGTTATGTCCCTTGCTTGTTGCCATTTTGAAGTTGGAGAGGGGGGAGCTGGCTTGGATTTTATTGGAAATATTGTTTGTCGTAAAACATTCTTGAAAAAAAATAAAATATCTGGTTTTGTACCTGCAGACAAAATCACAGCTCTCTCTCTCTGTCCTCCCCCCTTTGAGTATCAAATTGTCGTATCCCAATCGCATGAATCGATGCTCATTCTCTTAATGTCAATTCCTGGATTGTACAGACCAATGTTAAATAGCTGGAATAGTGCTGAAAGCGATGTTAAACAGCAAACACACAATCAATCCTACATCTTGTGAGAGTTGACAGTATATGTTATGGATTTTGGTGGTTTGTGAGGCAAATATCCAGGTTCAGATATTTTATTTTCTGTTAGATGTAATTATATTATTACTCTGACAAATCTTATGAAATATATATATCTTTTTACTAATTCTATTGACATGACCTCAAGATATGGTGTCTCATAACTGAAACTTTTTGGCTCATGAACTGTTGAAAAATGGTAAAGTTTACATTCATACATAACAGAATAACCTCAAAATTCAAAATTTAATGTCTGACTGTAACCATGCAACACGTGGTTAGGTGAAACCTGCAAATATGTACGACAGAATCAATTTTGAATGGTTCTCTACGGTGGAGACCTGAGCCACATTATTAATATGGCAAACGATGGACAGTGCTGATGAAGTTTGCAGATGTTGGGCTGATGATGTAGCCGATGGTGGGCCGATGCAAAGCCGATGAAGTTTGCCTACACCGGGCCAATGTCGATCCGATGAGCAAAACTTCATCGGCCCGATGAAGTTTGCCGACGTTGAGCCGATGATGTAGCCGACGTTGGGCCGATGCAGGGCCGATGAATTTTGCCGACATTGGGCCGATGCAGAGCCGATGCAGGGCCGATGAAGTTTGCCGACATTGGGCCGACGTCGATCCGATGAGCAAAACTTCATCGGCCCGATGAAGTTTGCCGACGTTGGGCCGATGATGTAGCCGACGTTGGGCCGATGCAGGGCCGATGTTGGCATGCTACCTGGGAAGTTACCGATCACCTCTTCAATGACGGGAGCTACGCATTTCACACAGCGGAAAGGGAAGTCAGTACGGCAAATTTCTCTATAACGGGGCCATAGAAAATCCGGTTCAACATACACGATGGGTCCACTGGTCAGTTATCACAGGATACAGCATGTTGATTTTTTTTCTGACATTCTTCTCGCATGCAACACATCGAAAGGCCATTGTGAATAATTGTGACCTGACAGCACCATGTTAGGTCTCTTAAATCAGTTTCAGCTTAAATTGAGTAAAGGTACTTAAAACTTCAAAGCGTATAGTGAATAAAAGTCGGTGAGTAAATTGGAGTAGGGGGCTAATTTCTTATTTGTTTTATTTCACAATTATTTGTGTTTGTAACAGACGATGTGAGTTTAATTTCTATTATCTTTCGTCAAAGCATGTTATGTTTTCACCATAAGTTGGATTATAGTTGGAGCAGAGGCTAATTTCTAATGTAAACTTGTTTTAACATCTCACAATTATTGGCCTTTACAAGTTACAATGTAAGTTTAATATCATTTATTTGACCAAGGTAAAAAAAAAAATAAGGTGCCGTTTTCGCTTGAGTCGAGGTGCCGTTTTCCCTTGAGTCGAGGTGCTGCTTTCGCCAATCGGTGACGTTTTCGCCCGGTGACGTTTTGCTGAGGTGCCGTTTTCGCTATAACCCATTTTGAATGATATTTCTCGCGAAATGTAACGAGAAATTACGGTACCTGCAGCTTTGATCTTCTGACAACACCGCTTTCGTTCGCTTGGACCGGAAAATGCTTCGTGTCAAGTTACCAAACGTAAGTAATAGCTCATATTCAGCAAACAACTACTTTTTAACCCGAGATCACTAATGTAACTTGATCAGCTCAAATAAAATGTCAATTGTAATAAATGCACACGTTGTAAATCAACGGCACACCTGTCGTCTGCTTGTTTACGTTCATGGTGTAAATGTCACGTGATGAGACACGTGATGTGCTCGCCAAAATTTAAAACTATGGAAACAAATTAGGGTCATTTCTTATTGAAAATGTTATGCTTTTTGAGAACTTCTGTCTCTGGAGGTTTGGTGATATATAAAATAAACCTTTATTTTTACAGGTTTTGACCAATGGTGAACCAACCAGAAGAGGTCAATATAGGCAATATTTGTCTGCAGCCCTAGACAAGGCATATAATGCTGTTTTAGATGGAATGGCAATTAGGAAAGCTGCCACTACCTTTGCTGTTCCATTTGCTACACTGCATGACAGGATGAGTGGGAAGGTTTCTATTGAATGTAGTACCACTGGTAGAGAACCACTATTGTCCATGGAAGAAGAACAGGGACTTGTTTCACATATTGAAGCCATGGCAAATTTTGGGTATTGCTAAACAAGGGCTGAAGTTACTACTATTGCCACAGACCTAGCAATATATGTTGGAAAGAAGTCAAAGGATGAACAACCCCTATCACTTCAGTGGTTCTATGGGTTTATGAAGCGATGGCCTGATCTGTCAGTGAAGAAGCCACGATCCCTTGAGATACAGAGAGCAAAAGCTACCTCAGAGGAGACGATCACTCATTATTTTAATGAGCTTGGGCACATCATGGATAAGTACAACCTGAAGACATGCCCTCATCGCATTTATAATGTTGACAAAAAGGGACTTATGGAGCATCATACCCCACCATCAGTCGTTACATCGAGTCAGAGTACTCCAGCTGCAGTCACAACATCAAGATCAAGTACTACAACGGTTATAGGTTGCGGCAATGCATCTGGTAGTTCTATACCACCGTATTTTGTATTCAAGGTCAAGAGGATGCGGGAAGAACTCCTTTCAGGAAGTACCCCTGGAGCAGCAGGCACTGTAAGCGACTCTGGCTGGTCAAACACAGAGATTTTTCAGCACTATCTGACAGAGCATTTCCTGAAGCATGCTGTCGCCGCGTCTGCAGATAGTCCACTTCTTATTGTGTATGATGGTCATAGATCCCACGTATCTATTCCACTCATCGAATGGGCACGTCAACATCACATTATTTTGTTTGTACTGCCTGCACACACGTCCCATGTTTTACAGCCAATGGATGTTGGTTGCTTTGGACCTTTTGCTAAAATTTACAACAACCTCCGTCATACGTATATGCGGGAAAATGCCACAAGTTCAGTTGATAAACATTCTGTTTGTGAACTTGGCTGTAGAGCTTATAACCTGTCGCTGACACCAACAAATCTGCAATCCTCCTTCAGGAAATGTGGAGTCTATCCATTTGACAAGTCTTCCACCGCCAATATCAACTTTGCGCCATCAACAGTTTTTAAGTCGACTGAACCTTTGCTGCATCCTGATACTGGTGTTATTGATTCATGTGTGCCAGTTGGAGACAAGGTTGTCACTTCACCTACTGAGGGCAATGATGTAGCAGGATTCTTTAAAGACAAGACGACTGTACTTTTCAAGAAAGCTGTGCCTACTAAAAAGAGAAACGTTCTGAGCGCAGTTGTCGGGGGCAAGGCCATCACCGAAGACGTCATTCTGAATAAAATTATTTCCCACCAGACTGTGAAATCGGCACCCAAAAAAAGAAACCAAGCACCCAAACCAAGTAAATCTTTAAAAAAAAAAAAGTACTGGAACTTCACGGTCCAACGCGCATCAGGACGATAGTTTTGA